GTGAATTCTTTAAAAAAACATAAAAAAATCTTACTGTTCAAAAACTTTTGACTGGTATAGTGTATATATATATCTATCGAAGTGGTGATGGGCCGCCTGGACCAAAAAATGCCAGGGCCGATTTTTTGTCCCAGTCCAGCCCTGGACATTAGGTTTGCTATAATGGCACTCTTTCCAGCAACCAGGGAAGGGCTCTATTGCTACATGTATACACTTCTTGATGACAGGTATAGTTAACTTGAAACTCTTCTATATGAAACTATCTTTACAGATTAAATCCCCACAAAATCATTCTGTAGGTTATAGAATAGGTTAGCACAGGATACTTAATTTGTTTGCTAAATACATTTGTTTTCAGATACATTATAGTACATGCAGTATCGGGAAAAAGGGTCTCTGTTTTATCAGTTTATATAAGCCTATATAATGAAATGTGTGACATGTCCCCATTATGTCCTCATCGATCGATTGACTGACTGACCGTAGTATGGCATTCGTGTTGTGCTGTATAGAGTCCACTAGATGGCGACATCTGCCGTTGGCAAACCAAGATTGCTCTTCACTCACAAAATGCAAAGTATTAAACGTTTCTCTGTCATTAAGCTTGTTGTAGAAAAACGGGATTTAGTGGAGAGTAGACTGGCTGCGTTATGTGAGTACAATTAAAACTAAAGTATAATTACGTTGTCCAGTAGGCCTGTTATTGATTTGTGAACTTGACAAAATGTGACGTGAGTTCTATTGCTACCACTTTCTTTGTACAATACCACACAATAAATTATTTTCGAGTATGTTACTGTTATGTAGACATTGTAACGGATGTCTAATTGTGAATTTTACAGACTAGTAGGCCTACCTGGGCAACCCCAGACAGGATGTTACAGAGCGGTTGTAGGCAAAAAGGTAACGTTAACAAGTCACTTCTGAAACTTTGAGCTAACGTTAATTTCTGTGAGATGGCTAATGGCGCACTCAGTATTTTTATATACTAATAAGTTTTACACACACATATATAATGCCATTGCATACTTGCATGAGATAAAGTTAAAAGTCACATCAGTAGCCTCGAAATTAATATTTACTTAACATGTAGCGGGTCGCCTCATGGGGGTAGCCATATTAGCTTCTTCTCGCACGGCTTTACCCATAACACCTGTTTGACACCTTTTTGGAATAAATCGAATTATAGTTGACTCCAAATAGGATATCTCTACAATGGAATTGGTAACTGAAAACTTTTGTTGTAATAGAAATGACATAGGCCTACTCACAGTTAGATGTCTGTATAAGTCAAAACACAACTTTCATCCCACATGAAAAAATACTATAGTAACTTATAGTAGCCTAAATACTATAGTGTTTTAGAACCATACTATAGTAAAGTGTATTATACTGTATATATTATAGTACAACACTTTGTTAATGAATGCTACAGCATAATGTAGTATTAAATATAGTGAACTGATAAGCTATAATAAATACTGTAGTATACTTTAGTTTTTACTACAGTAAACTGTAGTGTATTGTAGTATAATATACACTATAGTTGTAGAAAACTTAGTACAGTATTGGGTAAAGTAATTTGTTTATATTACTCTAGCTGTTATATTACCACAGCAACTATAGAATTACCACAACAAATTAATTCAAGTACTTTACTATAGTAATTTTTCTTTCCATGTGACTAATCACTCTGAAATAGCAGGAAAATCAACACTGATGGGTCCAATTCTGCTTTCTGGGGGAAGTTGTGGCCTAATGGTTAGAGAGTTGGACTCGTAACCCAAAGGTTGCGGGTTCGAGTCTCGTACCGGCAGGGATTGTAGGTGGGGGGAGTGAATGTACAGCACTCTCTCCCACCTTCAATACCACGACTGAGGTGCCCTTGAGCAAGGCACCGAACCCCCAACTGCTCCCCGGGCGCCGCAGCAAAAAAATGGCTTCCCACTGCTCCGGGTGTGTGTTCACTGCTGTGTGTGTGTGTGCACTTTGGATGGGATAAATGCAGAGCCATACTTGGCTCTGTCAATGTCACGTCACACTTTTTAAAGCACTGCAAAAAATGAGTAACTGGGAAATATATTTTATCATACTATGTATTTATGCTTTCTATGTTGATTTATATGTTAGTGCAACCCAAAACATCTTAAAGCATTCAAAACCAACCTAATTGCCAGATTTCCACCAAATACTGTATGTCATGTATACACCATATTATAGGTTTTTACCAATTACAGTATGTGATGTAAACAAATCATAGACTGTCACTGTAATTACAAAGTTTTCCCCCTTTCCCAGTAGATCAGTAGATCATTTTGATTAGAGGAAGAGAAATCAATCAGCTGAAGGATAATGTATAGCCTAGTGTCATGACAAGCATAAATAAATATGACTGATCTGTCACATGACTCAGACATCATTCTCAGAGGCAAACGCTTGTGCCTGCATTTCACTTCAGATGGGCTCTGAATTGTAATGCACTGGCTCCTTTTTACATAACTGTTACTCCACAATCTCACATTTTGCACAGTATTGTAACATAAACCAGCAAAAATAAATACCACACTGTATTCCACATGTTCACTAGTTACAAAATAATTTGTCATTACTGTATAAATTACAAAATACAAGAGAGGAACGGCATGAGAGCTCTGGGAAGAATCTGGATGGTTCCATAGGGTTTTCCTTGACATAAAGCGACTGGTACGTATCTCGATGCAATAAACGAGTGACAATGCAGCCTATCTCTCTCTCTCTCTTTGTCATATACACACATTGTCTTTCTCCCATAATCTGCAGGTTGAAATGGACCAAATTACTGCATAGACAACAATGCACAAGCCCTTTCTCAGGGAAAACCACAGTCTGGTGAGAGAGCGCAAGATTGTGCATGCAGTTATGAGGTAAGCTGTTATGGCTCTAAACCCTTTCACTCTTAGCAATCAAATGGGAACCTGCCTTCGATTAGAACCAGAAAATGAACCCAACTGAATGCATCACACTAAAGTAAACTAGAAACCAACCACAGAAGGTTGTATGAGAGGCAAATATACAGTAATTGATCAAACAACATATGTTTTTTCACTGCAAAACCAGTCTGTGTGGAAAGAAATACTAAATTTGTGCGCTGATTGTTTTCAACTACATCCTGCAGATCTGCACAAAGAAGACGACAATAATACAACAGACGTGCGGTAAACAGTTGGCAGTATCTCTGCTGAGAAAAATGGGAGACTGAGTGAGAAAGAGAGACGGAGGGAGAAAAATCGAGCTGCAGCAGTATCCCTACACTGCTGAGGCTTGGACTGCGTGACTGCCTGGTGTGTTGAAAGAGAGAGAGAAGGGAGGGGGGATGGGAAGGATCTTGCTTGGATGAGGAGCAAGCAGGCAGGCAGCAGCATCTCATTTGTGGCGCGCTGCTGAGGGAACTTGCCGCCTAGAGCCGTGCAGGGCGCTCACTCCTCGCAGGCGCGCACAGCGCCACCGCCTCTCCCGCACTGGCCGCCGCAGGGACAGCGACAGCCTCCGTTACAGGCGCAGAACTGCTTGCTGCAGCGGCACCATGGCGCAAGCCGCTAAGCAGCTCCGCAAGAACAAGGACCTTCAGGAGCTCGCAGCTCAAGAGCAGCGAGAGAAGGAGGAGGAGAAGATCAAGAAGAGGAACCGATCGAGAGACCGTAGACGCAAGGTAACAGAAAAAAATCTCCTTGCTCTTTTTTCCGTATGGGGAAGGATACACACCTTCACACATATCACTGACTCATTGTGTTAACCAGTCAGCTAGAGCTGGTCGTTCACAGATTATGTTTGAGGAAGATGCTGATGTCTGGCAGGGTAGATGAGGGGGGGGTCATGACTGAGATGATTGGTTAAGTAGCCCATCGGTCCTCTGGGGAACATCCTGCTCGATCGATTTAGAAGCAAATGCTGTTTATGACTGATGCTGCATCAAAGCAAACCCGATTGCTTTATGTATTCAGATGCACCCGCCACAGGCTCCATTGTTTGGAGCGTTCCCTCCGCCTGTCATCGGCATGCTACACCACCTCATATCGATGCCGTAAACGTGAACTTTGGCAGAACGTGAGTGTAATGTCTGCACCTGCTTCTGCCACCCATTCTCATTACAGTTTGTATGATGGAATGGGAGCTGGAGTGCATTATGGGAGCTCTGCTGCTCTGAGCCCTCTGGCTGCCTACTTGCTTGCCTTACCTTCCACCAATGTGCATGCGATGATGTATGGTCGCGTGCATGCAGATTTTGGCTTCACACAGAGAGCAGGGGGAGTCCAGAAGTACACGTGACTCAGGTTACAGCTGAAGACAACGAGATCGGTAGAGGCCGGGGTGATGACTCCGCTCCCGTCTGCTCACCAAGGCTCATAAAACCTGTCAGCTTAGCATTTATCAGCGTGCTCGCGTAACTACACGATCGGGCAGAGATATGTGGCCGGCGGTGGTAGAATGTCAGTGTAGCGCTAATTAACAGAAGCGAGTTGCTGACACACACGTAGTGACACAAAGAGATACTGGAGTCTAAAGATCACTCTGAGGAGGACTGTCCTTGAGGTTTGGCTGTTTAATCTTGGGTGGGACGTCTGATGAAGCATTTGTCAAGGCTGTCAGTGACCCCTTGAGATTACACAGGGGTCTGGAAAATTGAAGTTTGGACGTGTTTGATGACACTTGCTTTTGTGATTTGATTAAAATAGTGTTAATGTTTAATAAGCAGTTCAACACTCACTCTCCATATGCAACCCTTGAGCTTTTTTCATATTAGTGTATTTTGACATAATTTTGTTAAGTTAAAATGCAAACCGTTTGATTCCTAAGGCCTAATGTAATGTGACCTTACAGTAGGCTACAGCTAATGCAAGATGCTTATGTTTGAAAATTGTGCAGCTTCAGGTGTAAACCAGTCTGTAACCCTGGCCATGAGTTCAACCATTGGCACGCAGAAGGATAAATATTGGCACATAAAGAAAAACAGAGAAAGAGAGGAATATAATATGATTAGACTTTTGTTGTTTATTTCAATTAAAGTTGAAGTCAGGGTCCATAATTAATAAACAATTAGTAAAGAAATGAATCATCACAAGATTTAAGTCAAGAATTATACTCTGAAAAAATTATTACTTAAAAAAAAAATTATACTCTCAAAAAGATGTTAAAAACGAAACATATGCATGGATGAATAATTCACAATCAGATCTGTAGTGTGCATTTACAAAATAGATTGAATTTTCATTTCATGCCGACTTTGACATTTATCACCACCATTTATCATAGAAGTCAATGTGGTGCAGTGATTGCTATGATAAATTAAAAATGGCACATGTCATAAAGATTGTTGACCCCTAGTGTCATCGTGTTCCTGAAAACGTGTCAGTTTCGCTGAGGTCTCAAAGCGTTTTGGACGGTCTGTGGCCTTGTGAGATCTCAGCTGTTGGAGGACAAACAGTTGGATTGTGATTTTTACACATCCCTGAGGTGGATGTCCAGAGAAAAACGATGTCAAGTGCCTAGAGTATGAGACACAGAGAAACTGTCTGCGTTCTGATTGAAATATAGCTCTTACTGAATACTGCATTATATACTGCATACTATTTAAAAAAAAATCTGTATTCTGTAACATTAAACACATCACACAGTATGCTATATTGTTGTCACATTGTGCATTTAATTCAGTTAGTTGCATCTGCGTATTTTTATTTTGTTAAATTTTAAATTTGATTTTGTGCAGAAAAAGTTACAATGCAGAGCTTGAAAAAAGTCTGCACACTCAAACATTAAAAAGTCACAAGCGAGATAAAAGCAATATGAGCAATTTACTGAATAAAAACAAGGCAAACGTTTCGGTCACATGTTGACCATTTTCAATGCCAAGCTAACAATGTTAGAACTAGGAGCCATCTTAATTTGAGGAATCGCATGATAATTAAAGAGATCACATGATCAATCAGGACACGCACTGATCCAAAAAAAGAAAAAGAAAAAATATAAAAATAAAATAAAAATTATAACACAATAAAAAATGTATTTAATTTATTTATTTTTTTATTTAAATTATTTTTTTAAATAAAAAAGATGCTGGGGTCACGATGCCGGCTCAACATCGTGATGTCTATCAGCCATCGATATGGCATCGTCGATCTGCCCAACCCTAGTCTGTATACTACACATTTTAGCATGTGCAGCAGATCATGTGGCTACACTATTAAAAATAAAGGTTCTTTATTTGCATCTATGCAGGGTTCCATGAAGAACCTTTAACATTTATGGAACAATTCCATTGCAAAAACGTTCTTTATAATTCTTTAATCAGATTTTTAGAATGTTCTTCACACTAAGAAAATATTGTTCTTTTAAGAACTGTTCACCGAAAGGTTCTTTGTGCAAGCCCCATTTTGGAACCTTTACCAAGTGTACCATACGTGCAGTTTGTTTTCTCTACACAGTATGCATACTGCAGAAACAGTAGTACAGTATATGCTATTCTAAACATAGCCTTTGAGAAAGACACAAGAAGGGGGCTCTTTAATTCTTAGAAATGACCTACAGTATAGTGCATCATTTACTAGCTGCATTGGTGCTTTCTATTATTTTTACTTATGAAAGATGTTATCTGTGCTGCTGTGTACAACACCATATTAATTACCCCACAGTACTTTTATGTCTCTAAGCTGATCTTGCTGTGTGTGTAAGATCTTGTGCATCACATCCATATGGCTTACACACGGCCTGGCCCAGATTCCCATACAACAGAGAGCATGCATTTCTCTTGTTACCTAATAGAAGGTGAAGTCACACATATCAGTAAGTACCTTCAGTCACAGGCTATATTTATTCTGTGCCTGAGTCGCTACCAATCTGTCTGTGATCCTGCCAACTTGAAGGGATGCGTTGCCCAGGATTCTGGAAGGTTCAGTTGTGATCTATGGGGAGATGCTTTTGTAATGCCATGTTTGCACCACTAGAGGCAGCAGACTGGGAGAGCGAGAGGTACACTGACAATGGGAGTGACAGGAGAAATGTAGCAGCGTAATGTCAGATCAGGGTTAGCCCAAGTGCATTATAATTAAGTACCTGCTGTGGTTGTAATAGGATACCACATTTGCCATTAAAGCCACACTGCTTAATTTAATATCTCTGTCACTGATAAAGACTTTAAATGTCTCTGGATGCCTGCCTGGACAACAAAACATGAAAAACCCTGACAAACACCTGTGTTCCTGTGTAATTGAACATTTACAGCCATCTTCTTGAGTTTTAAGTCAGGACAGAGAAAATACATTCATTTTGTTCACTTCAAAAGGTACATTTCTTTGGCCTTGACTTGCTACATTGTCACTTTAGCTGTATTAAAATGTTCGTATTAGTATAATTTTGGTGAATGAATAGGGAATTTCTGTTACTGTAGAAAAAATATCTGTTAGTGTTCATTAATTTATTAATTGTATTGTACTTCTTTGCACTTAGTTAAAAGGCATATGTATATTTTATTGAGAAAATGTTCATTTGTATTCTCATTTGATTAGTTACAGTCAAGGCACACAAATGGTTTGTGGTCCTTGAAGCTTCTAGAATATTTTTGCTGCAGGCATAATTGCTTTGAAATAGATCTCCTCAAAAATTAAATATTAAAGCTAGAGCTGAGTCATTTTTTTTTTGTCTTGACTTAAAATGGTTGTATTTCACATTTTTCCTTCTGACATATAAAGTGCAAAATTGTTCAATAATTAGAACCGCTAGATTGTATTTATTAATTTTTACTTGTTTTACTGTATAATGAACTTTGAGACATACCAGTCCCATGTGCACAAATGTAAATGCACAAAGTTTGATGTCAGATCTCTTGTAAGTACTGCAGTTCATTTCTTGGCTTTGTAGGTTTCATGGAAGTAGGTGTAGTATTTCACAATAGAAATATGACTCAAGTGAAAAGACATGTGGAATAATGTAGATGGCCATTTTCATTCTTTGGATGCTTGAATGTACAGGGATATAATAGTGAAAAAGTGTTGTGATACGGTTATGGTTTTGTTTTGTTAATCTGACACTGCTTTGTATAATTAGGCAAAAGAACATGTTTCGCCTTTGATATTTGAACATTTCCGGTTGATAAAGATTTGATTAATGTGTTCATTACTGTCTCCTTTTACACTGTAAGAAGGAAGCAAGATATATAATTACGTATATGAGGGCGGGGGGTAGTATTTTTTGTGCCATCCACTTCCTTTTGTCATTCTTTACATGAAGTTATGAGGCCTCTTGGGATCAGGGTCACGTTTATTTCTATGGGAAACGTTATCTTTAA